GTTAGCGTCATTGAATTAAAACAGCATAATTATTGAACAATTTATAAAAGATTTAGATTCTCTGTAATTCAAGCAGTGAGTTAAGCATGTAGTCAGAAACAGCATCATCACCAGAAATGGTTTAATGTCAAGCTTTCAGTAGGGGCCCAACAGGGGGCAGGAGTAACTGGTCCCCGTCCAGAGCCACCCGTTGGTTTGATTATGAATTACATTTATTGTGAATATCAGAGGAATTACTAATAAATAAACCAATGCCATCTTAGTTTGAATCCCGGTGTTCTGTCAGCTCAGCATACCGCGTCAGGCCAGCATACCCTTAGTAAAAGGCATGCGCGTTGTTATCACTGAGTGAATCCTAATCCTAACCCTCGGAATTAATTTATCTATTTATGTTTAATCTGAAAATAATTATTTATGATCAGTAATTCTTCATGTACTGTAAAAAGAATAAATAAAAATGAAATGATCCGCATGTTGCTAATATATATATACAGGTGCTGGTCATAAAATTAGAATATCATGAAAAAGTAGATTGATTTCAGTAATTCCATTTAAAAAGTGAAACTTGTATATTATATTCATACATTACATACAAACTCATATATTTCAGATGTTTATTTTGTTTAATTTTGATGTTTACAAATGACAACAAATGAAAATCTCAAATTCATCATATCAGAAAATTAGAATATTGTGAAAAGGTTCAAAATTGATGGCCCCTGGTGCCACACTCTAATCAGCTAATTAACTCAAACCACCTGCAAAAGCCTTTAAATGGTCTTTCAGTCTAGTTCTATAGGCTACACAATCATGGGGAAGACTGCTGACTTGACAGTTGTCCAAAAGACGACCATCGACACCTTGCACAAGGAGGGCAAGACACAAAAGGTCATCGCTAAAGAGGCTGGCTGTTCACAGAGCTCAGTGTCCAAGCACATTAATAGAGAGGCGAAGGGAAGGAAAAGATGTGGTCGAAAAAAGTGTACAAGCAAGAGAGATAACCGCACCCTGGAGAGGATTGTGAAACAAAACCCATTCAAAAATGTGGGGGAGATTCACAAAGAGTGGACTGCAGCTGGAGTGAGTGCTTCAAGAACCACCACACACAGACGTATGAAAGACATGGGTTTCTGCTGTCGCATTCCTTGTGTCAAGCCACTCTTGAACCACAGACAGCGTCAGAAGCGTCTAAAGAGAAACAGGACTGGACTGCTGGTGAGTGGTCCAAAGTCATGTTCTCTGATGAAAGTAAATTTTGCATTTCCTTTGGAAATCAAGGTCCCAGAGTCTGGAGGAAAAGAAGAGAGGCACTTCATCCACGTTGCTTGAAGTCCAGTGTAAAGTTTCCACAGTCAGTGATGGTTTGGGGTGCCATGTCATCTGCTGGTGTTGGTCCATTGTGTTTTCTGAGGTCCAGGGTCAACGCAGCCACATACCAGGAAGTTTTAGAGCACTTCATGCTTCCTGCAGCTGACCAACTTTTTGGAGATGCAGATTTCATTTTCCAACAGGACTTGGCACCTGCACACAGTGCCAAAGCTACCAGTACCTGGTTGAAGGACCATGGTATCCCTGTTCTTAATTGGCCAGCAAACTCTCCTGACCTTAACCCCATAGAAAATCTATGGGGTATTGTGAAGAAGAAGATGCAATACACCAGACCCAACAATTCAGAAGAGCTAAAAGCCACTATTAGAGCAACCTGGGCTATCATAACACCTGAGCAGTGCCACAGACTGATCGACTCCATGCCACGCCGCATTGCTGCAGTAATACAGGCCAAAGGAGGCCCAACTAAATACTGAGTGCTGTACATGCTCATACTTTTCATGTTCATACTTTTCAGTTGGCCAACATTTCTATAAATCCTTTGTTTTTATTGGTCTTCAGTAATATTCTAATTTTCTGATATGATGAATTTGAGATTTTCATTTGTTGTCATTTGTAATCATCAAAATTAAACAAAATAAACATCTGAAATATATGAGTTTGTATGTAATGTATGAATATAATATACAAGTTTCACTTTTTAAATGGAATTACTGAAATCAATCTACTTTTTCATGATATTCTAATTTTATGACCAGCACCTGTATATATAAAAAAATGAATCTCATATCCAGCCAAGTGGGTTGTAGAATCTTCTCCCTATAAATATTTAAATCTCTGTGAAAAAATCCTGATAATTCTTTAATATGATCTTTGTCAAACGGACTTGCAACATTTTGTTTTTTAAAGCTAATGTGTGTGGTGGACCTTGTAAAGGACTTTTTTGGTTGTTTTATGCACAAAACAATGACAAAAACCTGACCAAATTGGTGATTGGCTGCAAGGAGAGTGGAGAGAGAGGATATTGGAAGTAATGCGTATCACTAACGGTATGCTGGTGTGACGGGGAACGCTGAGCTTTCAGAACACCAAACCTTTTGCTCCAATCAGTGTAAGCTAGAAAATATCTCCCTCTGGCCCGACCTCAGATGACAAGCAGTCCCTGCAAAGCCTACTTCCTGCTGCCAGGCTCTTCTTCCTGCCTCTCCTTGTGGAGCCTCACCCCTCCACCATGAACCATCTCTCTGGGCCTTCCCGCACTCCTTCCTGCTTTCTTCTTTCTCTTTGCCTCATGGTTCTCAGATATCGCTCCTCAGCAGGAAAAGGCCTGTAAAGAGTTGAGGAAAAGGGAAGGATATCTGTCATCCTCTGTGACACCAGGAAGATGGTGCTGACAGAGCTGTATGATTTTAATGCACAGGTGTTCCAGCTGTGGTGCATATAAGTATAATCCTTTAAAATCTTCTTCACCCCCGTTTGTGTGTTTGACTTTCTGGAGCTGTTACCTTGGAAAGCTGTGGTTGGTATTCTGCTGAGCGATGGTTTGTTAAAGCACCCTCTTGCAGCTGTAACGTTTGGTATGCCTGTGGAGGCGTTTGAGCCGAGTGAGTAAAATAAAAACTATCCAGCAATACAGGAGGACTGAACTGAGCTAAAGAGGTTGTTCTTTACCTCCCACCTGTCAAAACACGAATTTGGTCAAGAAGAAGAAGGGAGGTGGTCTTTTGTTTAAGACATGGGGTAGAAAGCAGGCCTTATTTTAGCGAGCTCTTTTAGACCAGCTTAATCAGGTCATCACAGGCTCAGTTGAAGGCGATAGCTACACCTTTAACTCCTCCTATCCAGTAGGTGGCGTACTCACGCTCACCTGCTCTCATTCTTTAGCGTTTGCTAGCCGGTTGCCAGGTCCATAGACATTGGGCGTTTCTCAATATGCGTTCTTGAGAGTTCTCGTGTGCTCGTGTACTCGTGGCACGTCATCAGCCTCAGCCCGAGTACCGTTCCAATTCTCCAGAACGCCAGATCGAGAACGCATTAAATCCTCGGATGTTGTTCTCACCTCGCCCTCTTTATCGAGCATGCATCAGAGCAGACTTGTGCGTTCTTCAGACAGACCGCTTCCCCAGAATGCCCCGCGGCCGCAGCTTGATTCCAGACAGCGCTCACAGTGTTAAGTTAAACATTCCCTTTTCTGCTGCTGTTGTTCTTCAAAAGTACGTTTTGAAATCGTTTGAGGCGATAACATTATACATTTAAGCCTCCCTGTGTGGCCTGTTTACAGAGTTAGTGCAAAATTTAAAAAAAAAGTCTGATGTTGAGCAGACCAGAGTGACCAGCAGACCTCCGAGGGTAACCGCAGCCAGGGCTAAATTTACCCTGTCTGTAGTGCACTTCTCTCGGTCTAGTTATGTGTGAACTACCGCTCGTTCTGATGGCGGTTTTTTGCGGTTCGATAATTTTTTTTAATGTTTTTTAAGCTTTAGAAATTTAAAATATTGTTTTCAAAATGTTTTGTGTAGGGAATAAATAGTTTTGACTGTTAAAGAAATGCTAAACAACGTTGCCTGTGATGACGTCACGAGTACGCTTCTGCTCCAATACACATACATGCTTGCGTGCTCGCGTTCTCGTCAAGTCCGATCTTCCTGCGTTCTCGCCAAGAACGGACTTGAGGAGAACGCGAGTACGTACTCGCGTTCTCGTGAATTGAGAAACGCCCATTATATACGTAAACGCCTCATTAAACGCTGGCTGACGTACCTAGAGGGCAGCCATCTTGAATCTGACCTGTATCATTTCACTGCCCCTTAAAATATCAAAACAAATTCTAAAATTATCTTTCAGTTAGATTACACATATTTATTCAGATTAAAAACTATTAAAACTGAATAAGATTTTTGCAGATATATATTTTTGCAAATATATGTTAATATGATAAAAACAAAGATGTTTTACACATTTTATATATTTATATAGCATATTATTATTATTCAGTATTTTTAAGGATTGCTCTTTGATAGACATGTATAGAGAATAATTTGTTGAAATTTGATTTAAAAAAGAGTAAACTTATTATTTAGTTTTTTTCAATCAATTTAATGTTAATTCTTATCTATTTTTTGTCATTGACAAGACTTTTTTGTCAAATGGTAGTGAATAGCAAATTTATGTTGTGTCTAACTAAAGGCTCTTTCTCCTTATAAGTTTGTATATATATATATATATATATATATATATATATATATATATATATATATATATATATATATATATATATATATATATATATATATATATATATATATATATATATATATATATATATTTATAGTGTCTGCATCAATGGTTGTTTGTCCTGTGTGTCCCTGTGTTGCCCTGTGATGGACTGGCGACCTGTCCAGGGTGTATACCACCTCTCGCCCATTGACTGCTGGAGATAGGCACCAGCACCCCTCGCGACCCCAATTGGGATAAGCGTGTCAGATTATAGTTTGTATATATATATATATATATATATATATAAATTATATTTATATATATAAAAACAAAATAATAACTTTACTCCTTTTTCTAAATCACATTAGAGGAAATTTTCCTCTATAGATCATAATATTCATGATTAAAGAGCAATCCTTAAAAATAATGACAAATAATAATATACTATATAAATATATAATATTTGTAAAACATAATCTTATAATATGTTAATATCACTACCATAACTTTGCGTTTATCATATTAATATTTATTTGCAAAATATATAACTTTGCCTAACTATGTCTAATCCAGTTTGAGTTCAGTTAAAATAGTTTTTAATCTGAATAAATATGTGTGATCTAACTGAAAGGTAATTTTCGTATTTGTTTTGGTCTTTTAAGTGGTGGTGTCATGTGAGAGTTTACTGTAATATTTTCTCTAACTTGTCTTTCATGTGATTAAAATAAGATGTAAGGCGCCTCACATTCGTTCTGACAGCAGCTGTCTGAACTGTGGTCCAATCCAAGATGGCCGCCCTATCGGCATATATTACATATACATATATAATATCTATGGCCAGGTCCTCCAATTTAGCAAACATATCAATGATCAGTTCAGAAGGAAAGCAGGAAACTCTTTGTTCCTTCTGGGCTCCTTTGCTTCCACCAGTCGGCACCAGCGCACTAAACGCTGACTGATTTTTAAAATTTTTTTGGCTTGAATCTGAGAAATGTAATGTTGAGAAGAAGCCTTTGCTCAGCTCTATTATAGAGCTGCCAGGATCTGGAAACCTGAGCTCCGTCTCCCCTGACTTTAACCAAATTTCCCTTTATGAGATCTAAATGCTGCTAAAAGTGCACACGCAAAATAAATACTCATACACAATATACACATGTAGGGTGAATAAAGTTGCATTCTGAGCATTTTATGTGTGCAGATGGAATAACGTAAGGTTTCAACTACATCATCTATGACTCCAGGCTCCTTCTCTTGCTTTCTAAGATCCTGTAGATCCTCTCTTCTCCACCTGTTTCTGTGGCTCAGGTCAACTATTCTCACTTTGAGGGAGAAACCAACCTGAAGAAGTAAACTCCCTGTGATTGGCTACTTTTCAGGAAATCCCGCCTCTTTTTTCTTTCTTGTTGCAGCATTAGCGCTAACGTTAGCAAAGCGTCTTCATACTAAACTGTCCAAAAGTTGAATTCTGACTTCAAATCCAGAAAACTTTATGAACCCAAAGCTGGACAGAAAATCAAGTGTTTTAAAATCGCTGTGAACAGATTTAAAAAATGTTAAGGTGTTACTATATTTGGGCAAAAATGGCCGCTCCCAGACTCGGGGATCGCAAATTATTGTTTTTATTTGTTTCACTGATTAACGTTAAATTCATGAAATCAAGCGTATTAGATTTAGGTAAAGATCCATTGATCATTCCTTGCTGACCGGACTTTTCCTTTATATAAAACTGCTGGTATTTATCACACATGTGCACTTCTAGCAGAATTCCTCCTGGTGCTTTTATTGTAGGATTGCAGAGGTGGTTAGAGAACAACCAAAAGTAAGAGTAGCCATACCTCAACTAAAAGAAAAAGTAGCCTTTCAAGAAATAACTTATGTAAAACAGTATTAGGTTAATTAACTACTGAGGTGCTAATTAATGGTTGGTAATGTTTAGAAGCGATCAGACAAATATCATCTGCTCACTCTGGAATTGTAGATCTACCTAGTTCAGGGGTCTGCAACCTGCGGCTCCGGAGCCACATATGGCTCTTTGGACCCTCTCCACCGGCTCTTAATACTGGCTAAAATGTATAGAAAGAGCTAAATAATTTACTATAATATATACCGGTATCAATAGCTTTAGCGTTTTTTATAAGATGGAAGAGAATGAGTTTAAAAGAACCAGAAATATATTTTCAGAGACATTTCTCTATGAATTAGCTGGAGAATTATATGTTTTAACATTAAAAATATATGATTTTATTGTTTGAGATGGCAACAACTAATTTCCTATACAAGCTTTAAAAAAAAAGGTTTTCTAGAAAAAGTCATGGTATTATTTGCGGCTCTAAACAACTTTTATGTGGTCGTACTCTGGGCAAAACGGCTCTTTGGATATGAAAGGTTTCAGACCCCTGACCTAGTTACTACCATCCTGTGCTCTTGCACTCTGTGACCAGGCCTAAATTTGGTCAAACATGCTGCCGTAGATGGAGTCCCAGCTGATGTCTGTGGGTTTAGGAACTAAAAGTTTGGGATGGAAGGTGGGATATAACCAGACTCTGTTCCAGAAAATAGATTCCAGATTAAAAACGCTGCTGTTCTTTGAGTGGAAACCTTCACAGAGACAGAAGCTGTGAAAGTGTGCAAAGCCAAGCAGCAGACCCCCCCCCCCCCCCCCATCAGTGGTGGTGTGACTGTGCAGTGTGTCTCTTATTTACACAGGTCTCATTCAGCAGCAACATTTTACAAAATACATTTCACTGGTGCTGATTAGAAATAAAAATGTCCTGAAAGGACCCAGATCCACTGGTTCTACTGACAGAGAGCAATGTTCTGAAGCCCCCATCTCCTCCCCAGAGGGGGTTTGTTCCTAGGAGACGGTGATCGCAGGTCCGAGGCAGCGAAGAGCCGCGCTGTTGGACCGTAGGTAGACTCTGTCAGTTGCTTGCTCCCTGCTTTCACTCTGCTAACCTCCGGATCGATTCCTTAAGGCGGCGCGTTAGCGGCGTCCTCAGAGGTCGCTGGCCTCTGCTCGCTCATACAGAGCTCTCAGTTTCTCAAAGCGAGGACCCCACTCCCCCAGTGTCTCCTCACCCCCTCCCTCACTGGTGCTCCCTCCATCCAGCCCTGCTGAACTGAAGGAGCTGAGGGAGCCCGCAGGAGACCCTCCTCCTTCAGTGGAAAACACCTGGAGGGAGTCGAAGGGCCCCGTGTCCGGGTGCTGGTCGGCGTCGCGGATGATCTCACACAGGTAGCGAGCTAAATCCTGGCTAGAGAAGGAGAGGGAGCGCCGTGGCAGCTGGGAGGGGCGGGCCTGCCCCTGGGCTGGGGGTCTGATTGGGGGCACGTCTCTGCGAAGGCTGGTGGTGGTGGTGGAGGAGGTGGAGGCAGCAGAAGGCGGCAGGGTGGTGGAGCTGGAGGTCCGGCTGAGGGGATCCAGGGGCTGGGTAGAGGGTGGGGCAGGTGGAGCCTGATGCAGAAGGTGATGGTGGGGAGGGGGGGGCGGGTGGTGCAGGGCTCTGGAGCGGCAGTACTGGACCGACTGGGCGGGGCTCGGCTGGAGGGACTTCTGCAGCTCCGCCATGTCGTAGGCGTTCTGGAAACAGCGACAAACAGGAGAGGGAGACAGGGAAGACAATGAAACGTAACGGGAAGCAGCAGAGAAATGAAACAAGAGCTGGAAAACATTCATTCCCTTATTACTGAGAACATTTCAGCTTCTGCGCTGTCCAAACTTATTCCCCCTGAACGGTTTTAGATCGGCCATGAAAGCTCTGACCCTGGGGAGGAAAACAGAGCAGGACCTGCAGTCACTTCAGGACTAACATGAGAGCTGCAGACAGGTGGAGAGAGGAACACCGCTGTGGGTGGAGAAGGATAAAAGGATGGCCATGCATGGAGGAGGAGTGGGAGGCTTTGGAAAGCTGATTATGTTACAAGTGGCTTTCTCTAGAGAGACTAAAACAGACAGACCTGAGAGAACCCACGTACTGGACAAAAGACAGGCGCTGGTGGACATTTCTTTAGGGGAATTATAAATGAACATTGCATTAAACATCAATGTAGAAACATGTCTTTGAAAATTCCCAGATTTCTGTTGTTAGCGTATGAAAAGCTTCCCGTCTTACAGACCAGATGAAGCTACTATGAGAAACAGCAGAGAGAGCAGAACATTAGAGATTAAACAGATTCTGCAGAGAGGGAGAATAGAGATAGAATGAAGCAGAATGATGAAAAAGGGGTCCCTAAACCGCTGACACTCCTACTGTCATTGGTTAAGTTTTTACAACATTTGAAATGTTGGACACAGAACTTTGAGTAACAATGCCCCATATTTTCAGGACAAGATCAGGAATTGAGTGAGGGGCGCACCCACCTCCATAGTCCACAGGTAAAAGCCTCTTCTGTCTGCAAGACATGCGGTGATAACTGCAGGATGTGTGCGGTACAGGGACGCAGCGATCATGTTCCACTTTGATGAAAGCTCTGATGGTTTTCAGGCTCTAAGTACAGCTGAATGTATGTGGGTTAGCCAGGCTGGTGGAACGGCGAGATAAGGATTTTGCGTGGGCCTAATTAAAACAGTACCATGCACACTGCTGAATTTCAGTCCAAATGAATTGACTTAATCTACTGCAAGGCTGGCAACTTCCCACTGCTGCCAAGAATCTAAAAATACACGTGATGATGGTTTTTAAAATAAGTATTTTTTACACCATCCTGGTGTTACTGTGTGAGTGACCAGTTTCAGTCCGTGAGGCAGACACCCTGTCTTCTCTTAAGAGTAGCTTTAAACTTTCGTTTTTGATAAAGCTTATAGTTAGAGAGTGGCTCAGGTTATTCTGAGCTATCTCTATAGTTATGCTGCTATAGGCTTAGACTGCTGGAGGACATAGGGACCCCTATTTCATCATTCTGTCTCATTTAATCTCTTTTCTCCCACTCTGCAGAATCTGTTAGTTCAATCTCTAACATTCTGCTCTCTCTGCTTTTTCTCAGAGTAGCTTCATCTGGTCTGTTCCTCTTTGGCTGTGACTCCATCCTGGAGAGAAATATCAGCTGTGCTGCTGCCATCAACACCTTTGTTTATAGATGTTGGAGATCGGCCTGTTTTTCAGTGTAGTCCTGTTTCTCTGACTGTGACTGGCTGGATGTGCTCTCTTCATCCTCTGACATGGGAGCTGGCTCAGAGCTCGTCTGTCTGGCTGCATGTTTCCTGGAAGGGGCCGCCTTTTACAGGTACCCTTTGTATCTCTGCTTCTGTCTCCTTGAACCCCAGTCGGTCTCAGCAGATGGCCGTTCACACTGAGCCTGGTTCTGCTGGAGGTTTCTTCCTGTTAAAAGTAAGTTTTTCCTCTCTGCTGTCGCTACAAGCATGCTTAGTGTAAGGAATTAGCCTCGTGTCAATGAGTCGATGCAATCAACTGGTTTTTCTTTGAAAACTTTGAATCAATTTGACTGGATAATCTGGTGAACTGTAAAGTGCCTTGAGATGACGTGCTGTGAATTGGTGCTTTAGAAATAAACGTAATTGAATTGAATGCAGCCCTGTAAGCAATTCTCTCTCAGTTGTGTTTGTCTGAGGGATGTACCTGGTCCTCCTCCCCTCCTCCCTCCTCGTCATAGTTCAGCACGTTCTCTCGGATGTCCTCCCAGCCGTCGTGATGTGCTGAGACGTGGTACACACCCTCCTTCAGACCTTTGTAGGTACGCCAGCGGGTGTAGAGGAAAATGCCCAGCAGCAGCACTGTAGAAGATACAGAAGATTCAGCAGAGCCAGAGTTACACACCGAAATTAAATGATCAAAATCCTTCAAGCAAGAGTTGATCCCTTCCCACTATCATCTCAATCCTCATCGCCATGCAGGGGACCAAGACATCTCGCCTGGTCAGCCAGGCGAACAATGACCCTAACGACTCCCCTTTTCAGAGGCATAGGCCAGTATTGGGTATGGCAGGCTAATAAAGACCTCAATGACTCCCAACTACTAAAGGTAGTCCGGTTCAATTTACATGTTTTCTAAGCTACTCTATAAACCTTGGAACCCAACATTACTCTGGATATTTTGATTGAAAAAGCTTCCTTGATGGGAAGCGAAACATCTTCAAACTTCAAAGTCCAGTGGATTGTTTTTTAACTTTTATGGAATGACTATGACCTGGATGACTGAGAATCTTCCCCTTCAGATTTTTTTATGATTTGCAGGATAATTTCCTCATTTTTTATCCTTTTACTAAGGGGAAAATATCAGAAGTATTTTCTTCTTTAGAAACAGTGCTATCTCCTAAATAAACTGTTTTATAGGGCAGTTTCTACCCTAATAAATAAAGGCCTGCAAGGAAGCCCCAGAAAAATGTCCTGGATCCTGGAAACAAAAAATTTAACACACATAGATGGGAATAAATGAGCAAGCACTATGTCAAAGATGTTAAAGACAAAAAAAAAAAAAAAAAAAAAAAAAAAAGCTTCTGGGTTTTATTATTATTTTAAAGTTGCATTTCAACTACATTTTCCTGAACATTAACTTCCTGGAAGGTTTCAGTCAGTTGTGTTGGTTTGCACCGTTGTGATTTTAAGTTCAGTGCCCATCCATTTAGGATGTCACATTAATGTCGGGATTTTATATTCTCTTCTATTCCCAGCCAGCTGGGAATTTATAGTTATGATACTTTAAGATGGTTATTGACCTGGTAAAATATCTTATTTAATCAGATATTATTTCGGCTGTCATATATTGTTTATGAACACACGCCCTACTAGCTGTGTGTTAGAATAATAAGTGAAACAGTGATTCGAGCACTAATCATGGTCAAAATAAATTCACCACAACTTCTGTTCAAGATATCAAGATTTCACTAGTTTAGCTGGACTACGGTAAACTAGTGAAACTGAACTCAACTAAACTACTATGTACAAAGAGGACAGGGAACATGGTTGAAAACCATATTACAGTTTCATGTGGATTTTTTTGTTTGAAAACCAAAGTTTATCTAGAAGAATTTGGAATATGATCAAAGTAGCTTTTCACTAATTTAGAGAAATTGGAATATTTTCAGACCAATTCACAAAAAAATCCATGTGGTGAATAAAACATTATTTGGTCAAATAATGTTTTAAAATGATGTGAGTGTGAGAGTACCACAGGGATTAGTGATAGGACCAATTCTCTTTACTTTATACTAGATCATATCGTACACTTCCATGTAGATTTTGAATGAACAATGTTTTAAATGAGTGATGTTCTTCGTCAATATCTGGAGAACTGCAGCCCTCAAAATAAACCAGTCTCAAGTGAAAGAAATATTCTGTGTGTGTTTCATGCTCTCCTTGGAGAACTAAAGTTGCCTCAAGCGTTGCTAACGCTGGATCTCTGTAACCAGAATATTCTTCTCTTAAGGTTTGACAAAGAGCTGAATAGCTTTCTCAGATTTTTGGATGAAGAGATTTTATGAAGACATGGACGCTTCTAGCTGTTTTTTTTCCAAATTAGCTTCAATTTCTCACGAGAAAAAGGAAATGGCAAGTCTTTTAGACAGTGTTCAACTTCTTGAAGATAATCAGTTATGTTGGAGTATTGATTTTCTGGGTCAAAAATAACAATGTCTTTGGCTAAGGATTCAATTTGTTGAATTCTATGGTCACTCGGCGGCCCTGGCCTATCAGGATGTTGGGTGTGCTCAAAAAATGGTGGGGGATTTGGAGCTAACCTTTAACGACACAAGGGAGACTGACTCTCCTTAGAGTTTTTCAAGTTGTGAATCCTGGCATTTGGTGCTTGGTGGGGGGGTTGACACCCTTTGTTCTAAGGCATGGTCACTTTGGCCTTGTTGGTCTTTGATCCTATAAGCTTCTACTGTTATCTCAGCTCCTGACAATAAAAGATTTTTTATCACTAACTGATCATCTAAGGCCCTGTCCACACGAAGTCAAAACGAACACGAAACGCTGATATTTTCCAAAATGTTTGCCGTAAAGACGGAGACGTAAAATAAATGTGAACGTCCACACGAATGCATGAAAACGCTGCAAAATGTATGCCAGGCCTGTAATTGGCGCTGTGGTGCCAAAGCAAAAATAAGCGACGAAATGTTGGGCATGCACACTAATATTTATACATGGTTGCCCTGCGGGTCCATTTTCGTGGTTAAGTCAAATTCAGGTGCTGAACTATGTCGTCGATATTGCTCTGTTCTTCCTGGAGATATTCCAGAAGAAGAAGATTCTGTTGTAAGCCCGACAGCAGGGTGAGTAGCATTAGCAGCAACGGCGCCATTGTTGTTGTGATACTGGTCGCGCATGCGTGTTTAGAGGCGACGCTATGACGCATGCTTGTAAAAAAAAATATGCGGTTAGAGCGTAAAGATGGAAACGCGAAAACGGCGTTTCGAAATCTTCCCACTCTGAAGGCTGAATAAAAAAAAGATCGTTTACAGACCCCCGAAACGCAGGCTTCGTGTGGATGAGAGGCTGGTTTGGTGAAAAATTTGTGCGTTTAGGCCAGGGTTCGTCTTCGTGTGGACGGGGCCTGATACTCACTTGCTCATATTTTTCAGTTTCAGTTTTCATTTGGGTTTTTAATTAAGTTAATTAATTCTTGAATCTTTTCTTCACATAGACTGAGGTTAAAATTGTTTAGGTTATCCAACTTAGCTGGAGATAAGTGGATACGGTTTGCAACAATTTGTTTCTCTTTCTCCATGCCTATAGAGTCAATGATGTACCCAGAATTGAGGATGCTTGGATCCATTTTCAGCTAATGGTACAAAAACAAAAGTTATGAAGAAATCTCAAAGAACACAATCCAGTCAGTACCGATGCTTCTCCCTGAGCATGTGTGGGTTCTCTCTGGGTACTCCGGCTTCCTCCCACAGTCCAAAAACATGTCTGTTAGGTTAATTGGCTTTTCTAAATTCTCCTTAGGTGTGAGTGAATGGTTGTATGTCCTGTTTGTCCCTGTGTTGCCCTGCGATGGACTGGCGACCTGCCCAGGGTGGACCCCGCCTCTCGCCCATTGACAGCTGGAGATAGGCACCAGCACCCCTTGCGACCCCACTTGGGACAAGCGTGTCAGAATGGATGGATGGATGGGTTGTGACTATAAGATCTCATTGAGTGGTGAGAGCTGACGTTAATGCTTTCATACTGTTTTCAATAATGGCTCTAAGTTTATTCTCATATATGTGCAGAATAACTGTTATATTTGAAGCCCACTCAGCACCAGAGGGCATGTAACTAGCCCGTCTACATCTCCTTTGAATGGCCCACGGTTCAAGAAGGCTACTGCAATCTGCGTGCAAATGTCTGAAAGAATTAGATCAAAACAGCATCATCTCTGACTGCTTCATGGTGGCTATGGTGTAAAACATGAATCCATAACAGTTTATGTGTAAATATTCAGATTGGTTGGATTTGAAATGTAGCAACCTTCCACTGCAAGGAGGTCTCTGATCAGGATTACAATCAGCTGGAAACCATTCATTCCAGGTTTGCATTCAGGCCTCCCACTGAATGCAAATGTTTTATCTCAGAAGGTCATGACATCATGACAGATCTCTGAAGGTTGAAGTCTGAGAGGTTTGTCCTTAAAATCTGTAAACCATTAACCCTCTGTAGATGTTATGATCACTTTAGTTTGTATCTCCACATAAACAGAGTGAATTATTCTGCCTTACTTTGATAAAAAGTCCTTAAAAAGGCTTTTTTGATTCTCTGTCTCCATGGTGACCGCACAGAGAAGTCTGAGCTTCCTTTGATTAAATATTTCAATTTTTGCTGATTTGATCAATACATCTAAATGCAAACTCTGTGGTATTGAACATGAGAGGATGGATTAATATTCTGCCTTTGCTAACAAAAATGCAGAACTTCATCATAAGGAAATAAAAGTTAATAGAGAATGAGAAACTGAAGAAGATGCAAATGATCTGGTACATTTAAACTTCCCATCCGCTCTCTATTAAGCTCTGTTTTTAGTTTGATGTCCTACCCTAGAGAGCAGCCTCTCTTCCCTGTTTGTTTGTTTGTGGTTCAGATTTCTGCCAGGTTAATCCCATTGAGTTCTGTTTTTTTTCTTCTGTAGGAATATCTGCAGTTTCCTCATGTTTTGTTTGTAGAACAATTAATAATTCAGCTTTTTTAATGAATGATGTAGTTGGTTAACCTGAACCCTTAAAACTTCTTTATACGATCAGGTTCTTCAACTTTCTGCCACTTTCCTGCAACATTTACAGTAGTAGCCATTGAAAATTTCCCCACTTTCCTTGATGGGCCCTTGGCTGGTCCCCTTCAATTCCTTTTTAAACATCAGTCTTTGTACTAAAATATTATATCTGTCATGCTTTGTAGATCTAATAGAAGCGTCATCTTCTGGTCAGACAGTGTAACAGTGACATCCATCTTAGATTATGTCTTAGTCTTTAGGACGAAACTATTATTATTTTTTGTCGCGTTTTAGTCATTACGATATGTGATAGTTTTAAGTCGGTTTAGTCGGACTAAAACTTGAAAAGGTTTTAATCAGTTTTATGTTGCAAATAAAAGTTAACCATTACAATTTGGAAAAACGACTACATTCTATACCAGACTGACAGCTCTAGCCTAGATACTATAATAGTTGGGTATCTGCTCTCTCTGGTTTTCCTCATAGTAGCTTCATCTGGTCTATTCCTGTTTGGCTGTGACTCCATCCTGGAGAGAAATATCAACTGTGCTGCTGCCATCAACACCTTTGTTTATGGATGTTGAAG